AACCCGCCACCTTAGGTGTACGTGGCTGGCGCCTTAGCCGGTTGAGCTATAGGCGCCGAGCCCCTATTCATCTTTCAACATCTTGGTTCCAGAGCCCTTTCCCGCCATTCGCATTGCAGAAAAGGGCTCTAAGTGCCTATGTCCAGCTCTGTCCTTCCAGCCGACCTGACCATCATTCAGATAGCTCCCTCCAGGTTTATCCCGTCTCTCCGTCCCTGCGTAAGGTGCCTCATTTTCCAGCCTTTCCCAGCCAAAGCCAGGCCGCGAATGTTGTTGTTCCCGGATGCGGCCGGCAGGTGGCGCTGCAGTTACGGGGCTCGCGGACGGATCGGGACCGGAAGTCAGCTAGGCGGCCTCTAGCTAGGGCGCGGACCCGGGTAGCCTTTAGCGTCTGCTATGCTGCGGGCCTGCGGCACCCTTGCTCAGCTGACTCCCCACTAAAGCTCCGGGCGCTACAAGGGCCCCCAGGAATGACTAGAGGACCCAGGAGTTACAGAAACAGGCACACACCCCTGGACTCCTGGCTCCCAGATGCATACTACAGCAGGTTATGTCCCAACTGGGCACCAGACGCTCCAGGACCTAGTTAACAGGAAGGAGGCAGGGCCATCCTACCCACCTCTACCCAGAGGGGTGATGGGGTCAGGGAGACTGAAGGTGAGGCATAAAGGTGGTAGAGAATGAGAAGGGCCGGCCTTACACCAGAACAACCCTGGATATGGGTAGAGGTAGTCAAGCCCTTAACTTAGGGCTATAGGCCCACTTCTAGGGACCCACAGATACCAATAAGACCCTCACATCACCAGCCAACACAGGTCTTGAAAGTGTAATCACTTTTATTTGAATTTTTGAGAGCAAAAGAAGGGTACATTATTAATACCTATCTTTCCAAGTTGAGACCTATGACTGTTTCCAAAAGACTTCAAATAAGAAACTTCTCCTCAAATACAAGGATAATCTGAGTCATCTTAAACCAGCAATAAAAAAGTAAAATATAAATTTTTATTTAGAATTAAAGCAAATACTTCAGTATCACAAACACAATATTAAACTTCAAGAAATATACCGCTAATTTGGAGTGAGCATTTATTTGCACAATTACAACATGCGGACAAACCCAGAAGAGATGAACAAGTCTGACATTTCCACCCCAGCACAGCAGTGGCCCTCCAACCCCGCAGCAACAGCAGGGACTGCCAGGGAGGGGGCTCCGACCTCCAGCCCCATCTCCCAGGAGCGCAAGGCCAGCAGGCCACTGCCACTACTATTCTTCCTCACCAGAAGACTCTCTCTCAAAAGTGTAGGCCATGAAGCAAGCGTCGGGTCTCTTGGGGACGAGGGGATGCCCTGGTCTCACAATCTCAAAGCCCAAAAAGCTGAAGGTGCGGAGCAAGGCAGCTGTGGGGTAAAGGCTGTCAGGGCCGACAGGGCTTGGGCAGACCCAGAAACTAGGCAGGGAAAAGGGGGCAACCTCCCTCACCTAGTAGGTGATTGATGGGTGTCACTTACCTCTGTCCTCTCGGTTCTTGTGGAAGCAGATGAAAACATGGTCGGATTGGAGCTGCTCCTCTGCAAACTCGAGAAGAACTGCGAAACTACAGCACAGGGTCCTCAGCACCATCCCCTCTAACAATGCCCTGTCAACACACCTCCTACCTGGTGTCTTATTTACTGAGAGTAAACAAGCCTGGCTTGTTCTCTAAGGAGGGTGTCCTGGGCACCACAGAGTGCTGAGCAGTGTCCTTGGCCCCACCAACACCCCATGATAACAATGTACTGGGGGCACATCATAAGTAACACTATTTAAAAAGTAAGCCCCCTCCCAATAAAACGCTGGTGGCAATGTCCTCACCTGTCTTTGCTCCCCTCGGGCAGTGCACCGCCAGGGATCTCGATGTACAGGCTGCGGCCACTCAGCACTGCTCTCCAGGTAATGTGTTTGGCATCTGTGAGCCTGGACTGGACATTAAGAATCCTCGTCTTGTTGTTAGACGTTAATTCCTCTGTTACATTCAGCCGATTATCCTGTTGAAGGAGAGAGATAGTCACTAGAAACCCCACTCTGGCAGTGGGGGTGAGCCCCTCTCAAAAGGTTAAAAGTAAACACAGGCTGGTGGCAATTTAGAAAAGGCAGAGAGAACCAAGACTACCCAGCAGTGCCACAATTAGGGCCTGAATGAGGGAGGGTGGGGTACAGGGCAGGTGGGAAACCCCATCTGAGGCTTGAATGGGAGCTTACAGAGCTCCTTGCTGCTGCTGAGGACAGAACAGGTGCACAGAGACACTATGGGCAATGTTGTAGCACAGCAGCAGGTCAGGAACACTCATTCCACCCCCACAAGGCAGGGTGCCCTAAGAGCCCCTGATACTTACAGAGTACAATAAGTTAGCTGAAAGACTGTGATCCCGCTGGCTATTCCCTCGCCCACCTGGGATCTTCAGGGGTGGGTGAGGGACATCAGGAGCACCACCGAGGCCCCGGACCCAGGTTACTACAGCAATTGAGGGAGACCCTGGAACTACAGGAAGTGATCATCAGGACAAAGTACCTGCTCGACAGAGAGCCAAAGAGGAATTTCCACCCTTCTCAGTCTTGGCCAGCGCCCACTGCCCACTGCTCTGGTTGGGACCCAGCACTCCCCATATACACGGGGCCCCGGCAAGGGCAGCTCCTACAAAAAGAGGCAAGCAGCCTTTACAGCGACTCCCCAAGGATCACACTCTCCTCAGTGAAGGCCTGTTCCCAAGACTACCATCAAGATTCAGAGTCTCTCCCAAGCCCAGCCCTCTACTCAAGTTTCACTTCCTATTTGGCACAGCAGTAGGCATCTGAAATTCTGACTTCTCTGGGGCACCAGTCACTTTTCTGGAGAAGCCCCTCTGCCACAAACCTCTCGCTGTCTAGACACAACTCGAGTGGGACTTGGGCCGCCGGCACCCAACCCAGCAGAGGACAGCGCGCTAGCCGGCCCCTCCTGCACCCTGGCCCTCCCGGTTGCGTCATCTCAGCAGACGCGGCCCTCGCGCCCCGGGGGAGATTTTCACAATCGCGCAGCCGACGACGCCAGCAGCCATTTGCTGCGCGGCGTAAACAGGCCCCAAAGTCGCCTCCATCTTGCACCGCTCCCACCCGGCCCCGAACCACGGCTTCAGGCTCCTGGCCCCCGGGGCTCATCAACGCCGACCTTGGCTAAAGAGACCCCTCGGGGAAACGCGGCTGCGACACTGCGAGCCACACGACCACCACCAACACATCGGGCACCGGCGCCCCGGAAGCGATATCGACACCAGGCTCCGAGAAGATTGTTCAAACGCCTTGGGCTCCCTGGGGAGCCTAGGCCATTCACACCGGCTCGTTTAAAACCGAGCCCACAAGGGCGATCGCGCCCAGGTACCGCGTGTAAGTTTGTCCACTTAAGAGCTTCGGCCCCTGAAGCCAATCCTCCTCGCCGCTACAAAAAAGTGCAGATTCACGGGACCGGCGGGCCTCACTCGGCCTCGGGCCAGCTCCAAAGCTCGCCCCGCCCCCAACCTATTTCCTCATTCAGTGTCCCCGATCGTGCCCAAAATTCGACTATCTGTTCCCCTCAACCTGACCTCCGACTCCATCCCCATCCCAAACCCAACTCCCCATCCCGCGACCCCCAAACCTAACCCCCAGTCAGACACATCTCTCCCAAATCAGACCTCCCCGGTGCGTAACCCCAAACCCAATCTCCCGAGTGCGCCGCCAGGCAGAGGGAGACCTCGGGACCGGCCCCACCCCCACCCTGGTCGAGAATCCGCCACCGCGCGATCGTGGCCTTAACAAAAAGGCGGATCTCGCGCTCCCGGGACTTATCTGACGCCCGAGGAAGGCCCCCCACAGGCCTGCACGGCCGGCGCTTCTGGAAGCTTCGGGCGGGGGCGGGGCCCTCACCTCTCGCTGCTGCAGCCGCCGCGGCTATGGAGACTGAGGAGCGGCATGATGAGGGTAGCGTGGACGGTGGCGCTGGCTTTATCCCCTTCCTTCTCTCTGGCGAAGCAGTGGCTGTTGAGGATCCGCTGCAGGGAGGATTTCACCATCCGGCCGCTGGGGTCCGAAACCAGGAAAACCTCCGCTGCGCCCCTCCGCGCCGCCGCCGCTATTCGCCGTTCGCAAAATGGCGCCGTCGCCGCCGGCCGCATTTATAGGCGCCACGCTCAGGCCACGCCCCCCACGCCTCCGGGAACGCGGCCGCACAAGGGGGAGGATCCGCGGAGCAGCCGCAAAAAAAAACAAAAAAAAAAGCTAAAAAAAACAAAAAAAAAAAAAAAAAAAAAAACAGAGCAGACACACACACACACACACAGGTCGAAATCGGGGCGGTGCAGATGATTGGTCAGTACGCCTCGAACTTCGTCCCTCCCGCGAGCGTCCTCGGGCGCGCGGCGGCCGGGCTGCCGTGTACTGGGTACGTGCGGCGCACACCCGCCCTGCTCCGCCCCCACAGTTTAGCCTTGGTACTGGATGCAGTAATGGGGGCCTGTTACTGGGGGAGGGGGGGTCCTCGCGACACCCTAGAGTCCGTCATTGTCCCCATTGCCCTCGCTAAAGGTCTCTTCACCCCGCAGGGCCTTCTCCCAGGGGAACTTGGGGCAACAAAGGCATGGGGGGGTCCACATCGCCCATCCACCCATAGGAGAAAATTATTTTCTGCAATAACCTTGTAACAATCGATAGTAATTATAGTTTTGTTGACTTGGTCTTTCAGTTTTCGTTTTTTTGGAGGCAGAGTCTCACTACGTTGCCCTCCTTAGAGTGTTGTGGCGTCACAGCTCACAACAACGTCCAGCTCTTGGGCTTAAGCGATTCTCTTGCCTCAGCCTCCCAAGTAGCTGGGACTACAGACGTCCGCCACAACGCCCGGCTACTTTTTGTTGTTGTTGTTGCAGTTGTCATCGTTGTTTAGCTGGCCTAAGCCAGGCTTGAACCTGCCTTCCTCGGTGCAGGTAGGCAGCGCCGAAGCCACTGTGCTATGGGCACCAAGCCTGGTCTTTCAGTTTTAAAACAGCTTATATTTTTTCCTAAGATAGGGCTATTGAGAAAAACAATTTTTAAAGAAGGGGGAAAACCCACAGCATACATTTGTTTTAAAAAGAGAACTTTCAATGTTAGAGATAACTATCCAGATTTGGGGGCCGGGCGCAGTGGCTCAAGCTGTAATCCAAGCACTCTTGGAGGCTGAGGCAGGTAGATTGCTTCAGCTCCCATGTTTGAGACCACCCTGAGCCAGAGCTAGACCTAATCTCTAAAAATAGCTGGCGCTGTGGGTGGGGCCTGTAGTCTCAGCTACTTGGGAGGCTGAGGCAAGAGAATCGTTTGAGCTCTAGAGTTTAAGGTTGCTGAGAGCTGTGACTCCATGACACTCTACCGAGGGCAACATAGTGAGACTCTTTTTTTCCTCAAAAAAAAAAAAAAAAAGATACTATCCAAATTTACAATTCAAACATAAATTTTGCTCCTTGCAGATTAAGTCAGAAAGACTTTTCTTCTTGTGTAAACTTAAATTTGCCCTTCTGGGCAGCAACAAAACTTTACTCCTGGGAGTTAAAATTCGGAAACACAATTCATATGTAAGCTGAAATTTGGATCTGCAAATTAAAAATATTCCTTTTGCAGTTATATTCGATAAACTATTTTGGGTGCAAACTAAAATTTGAACTTATCAAGCAAAGATACTTTACCTCCTGATTAAATAAAAAGAAATACTTCATGTATGAAGTAGAATTTGCATTTAATAAGCAAAAATATAACTCTGCGGTTAAATACAGGTACATATTTTGTGTGTACACTAAAATTTGGACTTACAAAACAAAAATATTCCACCTTGAAATTCTATTCAATAAAATAGTTCATATTTCATTCTATGCATTAAATTTTGCTCATTCCAAGCAAAAACACTCCTTGCATGGCAGCACACATGGCTCAGTGGGTAGGGCACTGGCCACATACACCAAGGCTGGTGGTTTGAACCCAGTCCCAGCCAGCTGAGATCAGCAATGACAACTGCAACAAAAAAATGGCTGGGTGTTGTGGCGGGTTTCGGTGGTCCCAGCTGTGTGGGAGGCTGAGGCACGAGAATGGCTTAAGCCCAGGAGTTTGAGGTTGCTATAAGCTGTGACACCATGGCACTTTACCAAGGGCCACATAGTCAGACTCTGTCTAAAAAAAAAAAAAAACTCCTTGCAGATTACAGTTAATGGTTTTAATTTTTAAGCACAAATAGAAACTCCAACAAGTTAAAGGTAGGATTGAGGTAACCGCTTGACTGCTTGATTCTAGGTCTTTAGAATCTCTATCTCTCATTTTATTTTGAACCTACTGCATTTGAGTTAGAGACACAAACTTTTCCTCAAAGGGACCTGGAATGATTAGGAGTGATTTACAAACCCACAGAAATTTGGCAGGGTGCAGGGGCTCATACCTGCAAACCAAGCACTCTGGCTAGGTCAAGGTGGGAGGATTACTTGAGCTCAGGAGTTCAGAGGCCAGCCCGAGCAAAAGGGAGACTCCATCTCTACTGAAAAAAATAAAATAAAATAGAAAAAACTTGCTGAGCATTGTAGTGGGCGCCTGTAGTCTCAGTTATTTGAGAGGCTGAGGTTAAGAGGATTGCATGAGCCCAAGGGTTTGAGGTTGCTGTGAGCTATGATGCTACGGCACTCTACCCAGGGCGACAAAGTAAGCCTGTGTCTTAAAACACACACACACACACACACACGCATGCACACACAAGTAACTTACTCTGCAATAGGCCAGGCCAAGTCCCATGTATCTCCAAATTACTTTCCATGTGGATTGAAATATTTATTAAAAGATACCTTTAAAAAATGTCTAAATTGGGGCAGTGCCTGTGGCTCAAAGGAGCAGGGCACCAGCCCCATATGCCGGAGGTGGCGGGTTCAAACCCAGCCCTGGCCAAAAAAAATAAAAAAAATTCCTGACCTCAGGCAATCCACCCTCTTCCACCTCCCAGATTGCTAGGATTACAGGTGTGAGCCATAGGCCCTGCCTTTTAGTGAACTTTATAATTGTTTTACATTTTTCCTCTGAGATGGCATGCTTTTGTTGTGAGGACCCACTTCCCCCAGCCCCCATTGAGGAGGATTCATATCTTTGTTATTATTTAGGCCTGTTTCTTTCTTTTTTCTTTTTTTTTTT